ATTCCACAACACCCCATTTGACAGGAGCCTCTTTTATTTCACTGTGACGCCATAAGCTGTCCCATTCGAACCTTACGTAAACAATCACTCGGAACAGAAAACAACGCTTTCATCGGTGGATGGTGGTTGGGTATACTTGGCACATGCTCCAACCAACCGAAACTTTCAAGTTTAACCTGTTCTCTAAAGGATCGGATTCATTACCAGGTTTCCAATTACGCATCACTTCGTTGCGGAGCTGCCGCGAGCTTACTCTTGCCGTACTACAGAGACATCGGATCGGAGGGACCAAGCCTCATAATCAGTGAGTAAGACCTCTCTTACAGTCGCCTTGTATACATGGGCCTTTAACTTCAGCTAAATTCAGTTCTGGAACCATAAATGGCGCAGGTTCGCGAATGCCTACAAACTTAATGGCCAAGAATATTCAGGTGCTAATCCATCATAGTTTCGAAGCCCCCCCCCCCTAAAGTCGAAGATCAGGATTGTCGGTCGGCGGTATAGTAGATACTGCTCAAACACTGGCGTAATGGAAACATATGAACATTGCACCTTCTGTCAAGCCAAAAGCCCTGGGACTTGTGTCTCATGTGTCGAAGATAGGCGTCGCAATATAAGAGAAGCTGGTAATCGTGTTGCGACTACGTGAAACTCATACCTCTATGCTTGGAGTAGTCGGTTCGTGCACCTTGCTTGAACACGGGAACGACCAAAGATTGACCCCAACTCTCCGAAATACATGCTTGTTCCCGGATAAGTACGAACAATCTAATCAAATCGGTACATAAAGATTCTTCTCCATTTTCGAACAACGCTGAAGGAAGCACATCTGGTCCAGCAGCCCCATAGCGCTTAAAAGCCGAAAAACAAATTAGTACTTAATCAAAAGAGGGGGTCTAAACTTACAGATCGCTGCTCAAAATGAGCGGGTCGAATGAAATAACTAGGTACAGTGGCCCAGCATCAAATAGATTTCTTGGTGACATTAGAAGGTGATGTCAGTAAGAAGCATCAAATCTAGTTCACAAAAACCCAGAATAGGCAGTCATTCAACATGAAATGAAATGACTTCATCTACAACTTTGTAGGCAAAAACTGTGCGTAAAAGTGGTGTTTGTGTCGGGTGTTAAAATGATTCATTCATTGGAAGTCTCGGCCAGTGAGTGAAGTCTATCTACGCCGAAAAGCCGAACGCAAGTGTACAGTGGTTTCATCCTTATCAGTAGTACATGTCTCATGAATTTCCTGGGCAATTATTATCTGCCGAGGGTTTGTTTTTAATGCCCGCTTCGGAACGCCAAAGAGCAGGTGGGAAATCTGATTTAGCGTAACGGAATGAAATCATAACGAAAAGTCTGCGGGTGGTTCATGCAGCCGACCTCTCAGGTGATGTAGTCCTTGCGTTGGCCCAATTCAACTGAAGTTAGTCCTGCGTCTGACCGCATTGGGGATGTGGCCACTAAGGCTATTCGTGGTAGGTGGGTGGTAAGCCCCTTCCTATTCGCTCACTGAACTTATTTACACACCAGGGCCATCTTCAGATAAATAGACGTAACGGTTGCGATCGTTGATGACTGCGCTCAAAAAATGTTGAGTTGATGCTGTTGGCTACCATCGTCTAGATCACATGATATTATTCAAGCTGGTACGCATTCCTACGGATGTTCGGTATGCATCAGGTCCTGAAAGAGTAAACTAAGGGTTAGAATATCGTGACAAATGGCTTCTGTTCGTACTGACGAAATGCATCATCAGCAGACACAGCACAATCAGCCTTGACACCGATGCTTTGCTGTCCCAAAACTCACAACTTGTCTTAGAAGCAGAGACTTCCAGTTGCTCTCAAACACTAACGAAGACAACGACTAACTGCAATCACGCTATGAAAATCGATCGCCACAAACACCGCGCAATGTCTTCAGTCAAGCGTAGGGAGGGCTACGGAGATTCGATTTTAGAAGACTGGCTGCACAAAAAACACCCCAAAGCTTTGTGCTGTCTTCCGTACTCGCCTGCCAAATTAAAGATTGTCCATTTCGAGGCGATTTCTGGATACGGCAGAGAGAAAAATATTTATCATGGCAGACAATGGTAAGGAGTGCGCTGCGCGTAGCAGAGCCACTGTGCTATATGGTGCTAGATATTTTCGGCAACTGTGGTAGCAGTAGCATGTCTCCGTTTGTCCGATTTGCTGTACGCAACATGTGAAGCCACCTGGATGATGGCACCAATCGATAACCTGTATGGTATGGAATCGTTTTCAGGTGTGAATTTCGCGGGATGTGCTGCTGTCGGCAGCACAGAGCAGGGTGAACAAGCCCCGGCTGCTGAGCAGCCCCAGAATTAAATTGATCACGTCACCATTAGCCACTGATGGCGCAGTTCGGTTCTTCACTGCTGATTGCTTTGGAATACACAGGTTGAGTGAGACCACACTCCATCTCACCATATATTTTTGTTAAACTTCCCTGGTAAGCCTAAGAAACCAGCTCTCTAATTAGTGATGGAAGGGCTGGGTTAAAGCAATCGATCGAAGCTTACGTTAGATCTGCCTGGGCATGCACCCAATTCACAAGTGCAGGCAGCACGACACGACAACCAGCAAGTCTCCTTTGAAAGGGTCATCTAAAGTATACGGGTAGATAGCGCAGCAAAGTACGAATGTCCAACCTATCTCAACGGGCGTAGCAGCGGTAGATGGCCTGTGGGTATTTTGGAGTCATACATTTGTCCGCATTTTACCCGCTCCAGGAAACACTCAAGAGTTCAGCCAAGTGAATACTTTCTACTCCATTAGTGAATACCCATAGCAATATCAGTCGGTTAGCACTTATAGATGGAAAACCAAGGAAATTCGATCATATTACGGAGGTGGCTGTGTGACCATAGGTTACCACCTGCGACTATCGTGCAGATCCACACAACCGTATCAGAGAGTAGGTCGTTGAGGATATGCAGTGAAATATGGTAACAATGAATAAAAATCGTGCACATACAGTGCATGAGCCCGGGCTTGAAGTCAATGAGATGAGTGACAAAAAGTACACACGAACTTACACATAGAAACAGTGCACTATATATCGCGAGGGAAGAGTGTCCAGATGGAAAGGATTTCCTGGAGAAAGACGGAAAAGGGACAAGCATACGGTAAGTTGATACAAGCAGCTTATAAGGTTTGAATAGGAACAAAGTGCCAACGACACAATCTCATGGTGAGCATCAAAACGTTTGGATAGTTACTCTGAATGATCATGGAGTTATGCTATTACGCTAAGATGGGCAATTCTGTGTACTGACGACCCAAATCACGTGCAAGTCAGAAGTCCATCTCTTATATCTTGCTGAGTTGCCAGTCTGTTGTATCTGAGTGCTGACCCCGCTCTATTGCCTAGTGCCGGAAAAAGACTCACCAAAGGAAACACAACAGCTTTATTCCGAAAAAGCGAGTGCGAAAGTACAACGGCCTCAAGCTATTATACTGGAGACACAGTGTCTGAATTTGGTCCAACGCTGATTTATGTTGTCTGGCTTTGTTACGAGGTTGTGCTGTGCTGCATATTGAGGGGGTGTTGTCTGTCTGGCCAGCATCTAGTGGAGCTGAGGGTCTCAGTAGATTTCGCGCATTCAGTGGTTACTTTCAGGAACCTGACCTTCCTGATACCATCAGAACAAACTCAAAAATGAAAACATCAGAGTGATCTGGAAAATTCACCGTTCTTGTGTCGATTGTGAAATAACACTCAATAATGCTGAACAAAATGTCACAGGTACTGTTAAATACTGTTCTATCTGAATGATATTAGTACACTAACTGCCAATCTGTGCATGTCTATTGATCCACCTCAGTGTTAGCAGCAGGTGTAACAGAATATTAATGAGTAGGGTGCAGCGGTTTTTGTTGGAGAACACTACATTTAGACGATTCAAAACATCACATAGGCGAAATGAGAACTCAAGCTGTAATTCGTCAGTGCTCAGCAGGGTACTTTCGAGCAGTACTCACTACGTTACATGACACCGGTAAGTCTTCACAACCCGACATGGAAGACGTTGAAGCAACAAAGTATGCGTCATTGCCATCCGGTGCCAACTCGAATGCTTACACGTTGTTGCTCACGACACATAAGCAACCCCAAGGGGTGAAATCGCTGTGGTTAGAGCGCGAATTTACTGACCAGAAGGTCCGTGGTTGGAACCCAATCTCTGCCTCTCCAAACCTTTGCCCAGGTTTGGACAACCTGGCCGTATCCCGGCACTCGTGCTTCCTTCGGGTGACATGGCATTTAAGAACCGAAAGGGTGCTACAACTGAACGATTTTAATTTTAATTTCACGACACATGCGCCAGTGCATATAAAACCACAAATGTCTACTGCTATCTCTGATATAATCCACTACATTCTGACGACCCATCACCAGTTCCGCCCTTCATGGTGCTCATCGGGTAGAGGTACTCTCAAGTTTCCATCAGCTTTACCGTTATTTGAACACCTTATGACAAAAAGTAAAAGTTGATACCTGGGATATCGTGCTAAGTGGAATAACAGGCGACTTTTGTGCAGCATAATCAGTTGAAGAATACTAGGAACGATAGATGCAGTTGTCTCTCGTTAACGCAAAAATTAATTTGCGAATGAGCGTGCTCAACTAAAAAATTGCCTACTGCCCAGCAGAGCATCCTTTAGCGAAGAAACAGTTTGTTCATACATCATCTATGACAGCTGAAGGAAAAAACCATACCAAGTGGAGTTTGCTGATGTAGGACAACGAGGCAAAATTCACTGAAATCATGAGAAAAACGCACTGTTCTGAGGAGGGATTGGTGTAAGATGTTGCGGCTGGACCGATGTCACTACAGTTTACTATCTTCCATCGATACTCCCCAAAATGCGTTGCTGAAATTCACTGAGAAGTTGCAAACCAGGCCGGTTTTAATTAGTACAGCGTGAAGGACAACTTTCCAATTGGATGTGTACGATTAGAAGCGTCATCCGTATTTACCTGGCGTCCAAGTGATCTTTTTCGCTTCCAGAAGTGCAGCTGTAATCGGTTATGTAGCCGAGGACTGTGCTCTGTAAAACGTTAGGTCCACATTGATCAAAGAAGCTTGGACGCAGCCGACCGACTGCAGCCTTTCCGACATCGGTTATGGTGATGGTCACAAAGTACCCATAGAAAGCGACGAGTAAGTAATCGTATATGCTGTAGAGGACCTGAGAACGGAGCAAAGAGGTAAAGTGAAACATGACATAGAAGCTCACCACAGGGATTCCAGCTTTTTTCATCCGTAAACTATCCCAACCGATCATAACCTCAACGGCAACAACCTGTGGTGGAATAAAGCTAAAACAGACTTGGTTTACCGTGGTAAGAATTAGTACAGAAGAGACTGAGTACAGAGTTACGCTGGATACTGTTGAAGAATGACGCGGTAAGCGAATCGAGTAGTCATCAGCAAAATAACCTTGGGAGATCGGTTGAATTCGTTGGAGAACACCCATTGCTATAAACACTAACAGAGAACTGAGAGAAACATTCAAAATACATACAAACAACGAAAGCCAATACGTCCGACAGAATCCGTATGGTAACCGTGACGGCCTTGTGCATGATAGCAGGGTTGTCTGGCGATAGGTGTCAGCTGAAAAGTGAAAATTTATTTAGCTCACTTCATGGTCCTGATAACGTGGTGGGCGAGAACTGGTGCTAAGTCATCGTATACTGAGGGATTGACTGGGAAACAGAAGACGCAGAGCGAAACACGCATAACTAGGAAGGCAAGTCAGCTTGCTGACTGGCATCCTATATGGATTCGTCTGTCAACAGCTTCCAGTTACGTAAAAATACCACTGTGGGAGGGGAACTCAGCCAGAGATTCCACCTACCAACATCATCGGAGACAGTAACATCAGTGACAAATTAGCGAACGTGATTCTGGCGTCTGAGATTCGCACGCTAACTTCATCGGACCAACTTACGTCAGAGCTAGTGAAACTAGTGAGATATGTAAGATTCTCCACAACCTCCAGTGATTCTATCAGGACTGTAAAAGATTAGTTCAGAGATTGCAGGTTACGAAGCATGACTTTGCACTTTGAAGTTGTTAGGTTCACGCAGAAAGATGGCATGATGGTGGTAAGTCTGTTCAACAGAACATGCGCTTCACCTTCGACTGCGAAGATGAGGCTAATGACATCTGCGTAATCTAGATTGACAAGATTTGCACTAGCAATAATATGAACACCGGAATATCCAAGACGCTTCAGCGTTCGCTTCATTATTTCATCAATGACGAATTTGAACAAGAATGGAGAGAGTGGACATCGTCATCGGGTACCAGTTTGTGTAGGGAGGGAGCGAACCACACATCTTTTCGGTACTTAGTTGCCATGCCATCAGAAGGAAGCACGAGGGCTGAGATATTGCCAGGCTGCCCAAGCTGGGACAGGGGAAGTCGAGAGTCAGAGGTCGGGTTCGAACCACGTCAGCAAATCCGCCCCCTAACCACTGAGCAGTCTCACCACGCCACGCTCAGAAGTATGTGGATATATGGACCGGATTATGTTCGCAGGCTTTTGGGGCACATACTGTTAAGTAACTATTTGACAGAACCCACAGGCCGAAAAAAATTGAGTGCGCCCTTGAAGTCAAGGAATAAAACAATTGCGGGTCGTCTAAAACCTGAGGGTGTGAAGATGTGGTCGACGCAGCCTCTACCAGGTAGAAATCTTGCTTGGTGCAAACGGATTCACGTGACGATATTAGGCGCCAAAGAATCAACGACACCAGAAACCTTGTTACAACGAGATTCAAACTAACAACTCTGTGGTTACTACATCCATTATCTGAAACGATCTCCTTCTCCCAAATAGGCACTGATGGATTCACCGCCATTCTCGAACAAACCAGGTGGAAGGTCGTCAGGTCAAGCAGCACGATGATGCTTGAGTACGGATATACATTCAGACACTTTTGAGGCTGAGGAGGTTCCATGTTCACAGTCCACCTTCGTGTTGAAGGCCGGCAGTCCGGATAGGATGTAGAAGGCCAACTGAATTGTTGTTCAAAGTATTTTGACTAGCTGTTAGGCAGGAATCCACGCGGATC